GCATATTTTCTTTTTATCTGTTTTTGTCTTTCGATTCTCTCTCTTATACAACAATATAGTGGAATATATATAGATGAATAAAAAAAAGAATCAAAAAGAGGGACATCCAATGGCAAGGCAAAAAAAATGATCAAAAAATCTTTTGATTCTTCCACTGTCACAAGAATACAAGTAGTTCTTTTGGTTAAAATAATTTAAATAACCAATTTTTAAAAAATATCAATTATTTAATCATTTAAAACTAAAATGGAAATACTTAATCATTCAACATAAAAAAGTTCAAACAATTTATTCAATCAAAACGAGTTCAAAAACTTGATAATTTAAAATGGAATAGACTCTTTTTTTTCTTAACTTTTCTCTTATTTAAATTCAATACAAATGATTTTCTATAAATATCCCATTCATTAAAATAAATGATTACTCATAAAAATTAACTTTTGTATTACACTATTTTAATTTTTTTAAATTACGACGAGACTTTAATACTAATACATACATGTAATATTGTATACATAGAGGAGCGATCAAATGCAAACCACTCAATTTGTATAGACCGTGTAAACCACCCTCATCCGTTGATTTCATTGTTTAATCTTGTGAATTTTTTTCATGAAATTGTTTAATCTTGTGAAATTGTTTTATCTTGTGAAATTGTTTCATATAATTTTTTTTTTTGATGAAGTTGTTTCATATATGGTTATGAAACTGTTTCATATAATACTTAATGAAATTTTAATGAAACTGTTTCATATATTTATCTAAAATTAAAATAATGAAGATGATAATATCCATTATTAACACCCTCCACAATAAAAATGATTAATCAACTTCTCATAATTACAAAAAAAAATGAACAAAATGAAAAATTATGATCGATTGAATGCGGTTTGTACGGTTTGTATAAATAACGTGGTTTGCAAAGTAAACCTCTTCTATATACATATATATGTATATGTATATAATATAAATGAAAATAATATAATTGATATATAATGATGATATAAATAAAAAAATTTATATAATATATTTATATATATATATATATATATATAATATCCTATATATATATATATATATATGTGTGTGTGTGTGGGGGGGGGGGAGGTTCAAACGAGAACTTTTATGATTTATGAGAACGTGAAAATAACCTAATAACCTCAAACTTTTTTAATTAATAAAATAACTTATATTAAATATAAATAAATTAATAAGGGTGGTAATGTAATTAAGTAATTTTTATAATTTTTATTTTATTTTAATTAATTATAATTATCCCTTTTTTTCCTGCACGTTCGTTTCCACACCCTTGTGATAATTGTGTGATTGTGTAACCATAACCTATCGAAATCATGATCAATCGAGTGTAACCATAACCTATCGAAACAATGAGTAATCGTTGTGATAAATGTGTGATTGTCTAACACTAACCGATAGAAACCATGATCAAATTGAGTGCATAAGTGATGTTATAATAGTGATATCACATGATTATCACACTCATATCACACCAAATTGCTTAGTGGATTTCGCCCATAATCGTTGTGATAAATGTGTGATTGTCTAATCCTAACCTATCGAAACCATGAGTAATCGTTGTGATAAATGTGTGATTGTTTAACCCTAACCGATCGAAACCATGATCAAATCGAGTGCGCTGTTATGATAGTGATATCACATGATTATCACGCTCATATCACACCAAATCGGTAGTCGATTTCCTAAGTTAACCCTAGCCGAGCGGAATCCTTGTGATAATTATGTGATAATCACATGATTATCACAACCATATCACACCCAAATCACACCAAATAGTGTTAAGATAAGCGATAACCATAATAGCGCATTATGTTATCCAAATTCTTGGGTTTAGTGTGATCGTGTTTTTAAAATTTTATCACTTTGAATTCCAATATTACCCTTTTGCCTCTCAATTTTTTTTTGAATTGTTTTAATTTCATTTTTAATTTAAAAAATCTATTAATTTTTATTGTTATCACAATATGAGGTTAATAGGTTGTTCTTTTGTTCTTGTAAATCACAAGGGTTCTAGTTTGAATCATTCCCTATATATATATATATATATATATATATATATATATATATGTAACTTAATTAAATGAAAAGTCTAAAAAAATTCAATTGACTTTATTGTTTGGAATGATTAAGTTATTGAACAATTTTTTTGGAATAAATAAGTCATTGGACATTCCAAAACCTGTTAAATAACTTATTGGACTTTCTAAAACCTGTTAAATACATTATTATAACCTATACAAGTGGTTAATGTGGTAAAATAATGGAGAAAATTTGAAGAAGAAGAAAAGGTCAACTGACTTTCTTATTTTAAATGATTAATTCTTTAAACATTTCTGAACAAAAAAATTATTTACATCTATAAAATAAAACAAATATATCAAAAAATTCTTACATTTAAAAAAGATTATTGATCAAATTTATTATGTCAGTGATTTTTCAAATTAAAAAAATAAAAAAAGGATTTAAGAAAATACTGATTAAATTTATTATAATTTAAAACAAAATATATTTCATATATGATTTTTTTAAATTAATAGAAATAAAAAAAGATTTAAAAATCATTACTGATTAAATTTATTTTTATTTAAAATAAATATATTTTGTTGGTATTTTTCAAATTAAAAAAATAAAAAAAGGATTTAAGAAAATACTGATTAAATTTATTATAATTTAAAACAAAATATATTTCATATATGATTTTTTTAAATTAATAGAAATAAAAAAAGATTTAAAAATCATTACTGATTAAATTTATTTTTATTTAAAATAAATATATTTTGTTGGTATTTTTCAAATTAAAAAAATAGAAAATAATTTAATTAAATTACTGACAGATTAACGATTAAATTTAACTAAATACATAATTAATTAAAATTCGTTACTAGTCCGTTGGGGAAACGATATCACCGACAAGATTCAAGCACGATTTTTCATACTTATTAACATATTTCTATGTTTGAGTATGTGACGGTGGTCAAATTAACCATCAATTAAATATAAGTAATCCATGCATATATACCAATGAAAACTATTGACGAATTTTATATATAAATAATCCATGTATATATACAATTAAACACTAGCGAGAAATTTTAATTAATTATGTATTTAGGTAAATTTTATCGTTAATCTATCCGTAATTTATTTTCTATTTTTTAATTTAAAAAATCACCAACGGGATATATTTTCTTTCTAATTAAATTTTTTTTTATCAGTAATCTTTTTTAGATCTTTTTTTAATTTTAGAAATCATATACGGAATATATTTATTTTTAATTAAAATAAACTTAGTCAGTAATCCATTTTAAATCCTTTGTTATCTTTTTTTAATTTGAAAAATCACTGACATAATATTTTTTTTTATTTTTAGTTAGAATAAATTTCATCAATAATATTTTTTAAATATAAGTACTTTTTTGTTATACTTATTTCATTTTATAGATGTAAATACTTTTTTCGTTCAGAAAATGTTTAGTGAGTAATCATTCAAAATATAAAAATCCATTGGCTTTTTCTCATTATTTTATCACATTAACCAATTTTATAAATCATAAAAATATATCTAACAGGTTTTAAATTTTAAAAATATAATATATTATTTAATCGATTTGATATTTTATAAATTTTAAAAATAAAATAAACTTTTAACCATTCATCAACCTTGTTAAAAGTGTGTCACTAACACTCCCCTAAAATAAATTATAGAGACTGAATATTGGAAAATGTAGTCACCAACTTACTTGATGGAGTCATTAAAGTTGCTATCGAACCCCACTTCATCGATCACTTACACACGTTCAAATCCCAATGTCTATATTTTCCCACCCAAAACGTATATCACAAACCTTTTACTATCCACATCACCTCACACTGCTTCTATTGGCCCCACCTTATTTTCCATCACCATCTTTTATTATTGTCTGAATCACAATACATATAATTCATTATTCATCCTTGTTTTTAAAAGACAATGTCCTCCTTTTTGGACTATCAAAACAAAGGGGAGTACTCAATGCCCACTCATAAAACACAGCTGAATTTCATGTGCTCAATTATGTCCAAATTAATCCTACCTATCTCCTCCATTATACATGTCTTTTAACTTGAAGGTCCCATTAATTTCTAGGTGTTTTATGACATTTATACATGCACCCTTCATTCATTTGTAGGTTCATTCCCCTTGCTCCAATGTTGATGTTTCTTGTTTTTGTTATCTGGACCAGTTTGAACGCACCCCGATTGGCCAAGAATGCGATACTTATTATCAGTTGAATGATGGTGTTTTTGTTATCATGGTTTTTTTTCTTTTTTACTATAGATTATAAATGTGTTATATTCATCTTTCTGCAAACACTTTCCCTGTGGATGTCTCATTCTCTATTACAATATCTTACTCTGATTGTGCTGTTGTTTTTCCTGGGAGTACCCAATCCAGAAATGGCCACTATCAATCTACTTCATTGTTTATGCTGTTCTGTTTCCTGGGATTCTCAACCTAAAAGTGGATAAAAATCACTCTTTTATCATATTTCACTTCTGCCGACGGTTTCATCTAACCACGCTTTTGCTTCAGCTTTATTAGCCTTTTCGTTATCACTTTTACTCCCATACCTTACTTACAGTGTTAGCAAATAGATTTCTTTCTGATTAAAAAAAACGTGGGTAAACATAATAGTTTACAAGAACGATTCTTCCATCAAACATGCATATATATACATATATATGGTCATGTGTATATATATATATATATTTAAAAGCAAAGATTTTTTTAGGAAACCAGTTCAGACAAAGAATTGAAATACTGCATCTTTTAGTTGGTAAAGAGTCGAACCCACAAAGATTTAGGTTTAAAGTCTTTAATTGGTGGGATACAAGTAGACAAATAATACGAATGGGCAAATGGTCATGTTTTTTACGAATTAACATTAGCATGCGACGCATCATTCCATTAATTGACAGTTGAAAAGAAAATATACAACTACTAGCTAGAAAATACCATAAAAAATAACTCAAAGAAGATACCATAATTAATCAAAGAAAGTCTGCATCGTCACATTACACTGCTAGACGGATTGATCCACATTTATAATTATATTAACTTGGAAGACTGCTCCAGATTTCAGTAAAAGCTCTGACGATGATTCCATGGTAATATGGAGAATTCAGCTGCAAGAAACAGTTGAGAAGCTCTCGGAGATCATCCTTCCCGTATATCTCCTTCTCCATTATCATCTGCAGCATGGATTCCTTGAAATCAACATATGGATCGCTGGAATCTTTCTCTACAGCCAGGCTGTTGCCGCCGATCCACCCAAACCCTTGCACGGCTTTCGAACTCTTCACCGGAGTTGGTGATAATGTAGCAGTGGTAAGGGTGGAGTCATGGTGGTGTACGTCGGAATAGTAGCGGTTGCGTTTATGTTTGTTGGGTTTTCGGTGGAAGATCTTGGAGAGATTCATTGTCCGGCAAGAACTGCCGCAGCCGAGGGTGACGGCGGTGGTGGTTTGGATGAGCTTCTTCTTGACTGTAGGCATTCTTCAGTTGGAGCAAGTTGATAGAAATTTCCGTGTTTATTAATTGTGTTTTTATTTACAGGGAGAAGGGTAGAAGCTAATGTGACAGCCACTGTTTGGTGACAGTCCAATCGATGTGATCAATTTAAGTGACAGGACATAAAAATTAATTCTTATTTCATGATTTAGATGAGAAAAACTCACTCGTCACGTTGCAACGATCAGGTCTACAATTTAAAATTTCACATAAGTGACGGATGTGAAATTTGCGGATGTATTATATTTAGGTAAATTAAGGAGATGAATGATTAGAATACTAATTTATGAAAAAAATAATGATTGTTTTGGCCAATTTTTTTAAATAAAAAGGTGGGTTAAACGTATTCTATAGATTGTTAAATGCATCACTATCTTTTTATTATTTCTTTATATACCTGAATATCAAAACTTACTTTTATATTTATAATAACTTGATTTTGATATAAAAAATGTTACATATAACATTAACCTATATAAATAAATTATAAAGATGAAAACCAACAAAACTCAAAAATGACATGGACAAAAATCAATAATTTAATATATATATATATATATATAATATTTTAAATGCAACCATGTCTATTTGTACAACCAATGTAACCTAATTAATTAAGATATTTATAGAAATGATGAGAGTTTATTTATTTTGATTTAAATATTTATGGAAGATGAATATGATTCATTAATTATGATAAATACTTTATATCAGGAAACAACAAAAATTTTATAAAATCACATATTCGTCAAATTAAATAGACGATTAAGATTGTGTTTTATAAATGTAAAGATATGTATAATAACCAACCCCTCTCTCTCTCTCTCTCTCTCTCTCTCTCTCTCTCTATATATATATATATATATATATGTAAAACATGATTAAAAGTATGCACGTTATATCCAAAGCAACATGAAAGAGAAAGTGTGTTACACTCTATAAGGAAAATAAGTACGTAAAGTACACTTTAAAAATTAAAATCATTTGTGATAAGTTAAATCATACATTTTTCAAAAAAAAAATACAAATAGGTTATTTTTATTCTTGAGTTAAATATATATATATATATATATATATACACACACACACACATATATATATATATTAGAAGAGGAATCGCGTAATGCAGCGAGACACATCTCGATTTTAATGTTCAATTTTATTATTTGTCTCTACTGATGTTATAATACGATTTTATGTGTTTTTAAGAAAACAATAATGATTTTATTTTTGAATAAAATATAAATTTGAAAATAAATATATCAATATTAATATCAAATCAACTATTTATAATTTCTTTAATTTATTTTTTATTATAATTTAATTTAAGTTTAATAACGAAATAATTTATTTTTGATTTAATAATATAACAATTTTTAAATATAATAATTAAGTATTCTGTTAGAACCCAATGATTATCCTAACTATATTTTAAATTTTTTATATTTAAAATTAGTTGTGTATCAGGTATTTGATTATGTTTATCTACAGTTAGTTACACGAGTTCATATATGGAGCTTTAATAAGTTGTACTTACAAACAATCTACTTACAATATTAAGTTTTAAGTAATATGCATTAATAAACAGTACTTTACGTATAAAAAATGGTTTTTAAGAATTTTTATCAAATGTTTTATAATATAGTATATATATATATATATATATATATATATATGAGCGTTCAAATAAAAATCACACTCATTTATAAAAACCGTACAAACCACCCTCATACGTTGATTTCATTGTTTAATCTTATGAAATTTTTTCATGAAATTGTTTAATCTTGTGAAATTGTTTCATATAATACTTTTTTTTGATGAATTTGTTTCATATATGGTTATGAAATTGTTTCATATAATATTTAATGAAATTTTAATGAAACTATTTCATGTATTTCTCTAAAATTAAAATAATGAAGATGATAATATCCATGATTAACACACTTCACAATAAAAATGGTTAATCAACCTCTCATAATTACAAAAAAAAAATGAACAAAATGAAAAATTATGATCGGTTGAATGAGGGTTTCACGGTTTTTACAAATTGAGTGGTTTTTATTTGAACGCTCCCATATATACATACATATATATACTACATTAATAAGCATTTAAGTCATTATCTTAATTACAACCTTCTAAGCACAACTTACAATCATTTTATGCAAGAATTCAAAAAATCTCTTAATTACAAATTATCATGCACAATGTACAAATTATTTATGCAAGGGTGTCATACCATACCAAATCCTAATTGGGTCAAACCTACTTTCTCCTTATCAGACTTCTAAAATCACCAATTTGGGCCACTTTCTTCTTCTTTTTCTTCTATATCCGATCACTGCCTTCTCTACTCTTACCAATTTCAGATTTCAAATTTGAAATGATTCTTGAACGCTGAGAGAGAGAGACTTCCCCTCAAAAATACGATTCAAGCTTAGGGTTTAGGGTCATCCTCTTTGAAGAGACACTCATCCCTTGCTCAAAATGATTCAGGCTCATCCTCTTCGAATAGACACTCTCTATCCATCACTCAGGCTTTAATCCTAGTCTATCACTCTCCAGGTAATCAATCGGTTCCATCGAATTTACTCTGTTTCCATCGATTTACAGTCTCTCATCCAGGTAATCACTCTCCATCGATTTTGGTTCACTTTTTTGTACCCTCTTTCGCATACTTCTTTCTATCACACTCTCCTTCCGTTCCAATTTCTGTCCAGGTAATTAAGGTTTGATTTCCCACTTTTAGTTCTTGAACTTAAATACTATTGAATTTTGATTTCTTCTTTTAAACTTGAATTGCAGATAACCTATGTGGTATCATAGGTTTGTTTTTTTTTATCGCAACCGATTTTTTGTATAGCAAGAAACTTGACCTGCTGTTGTAGAAAACTAAAATCGATTGTGTCTTTATATGACATAAGATGTTATTTAGTCTATTTTCTCTACATGTGTTTGTTGTAGTTTGTTCAATGGCATAAGCAACTGGGCCTGCCAACAAGCCAAGAAATGAAGAGATTCGTAGTTGAGGTGAATTATTCTTACTATCTTTTCCACATGTTTGTTCTGCTTGTTTTCCTTTAGATACAAATGACAATACAAATATACGCAGTACCTGGAGATGGAGGTGTGATAAGAAAACATGACCGTTCATCATTCTCTTGTAATGCTTTTGCAGAAGGTACAATTGTCTTTTGCATATAAGACTTTATTTATGAAATGTCAGGCGAATATGTTAATAAATTGGTAGTGAAACAAGAAGTGATCCTAAACTAAGGGTGTTTTTGGGGTTTCCGTAGTTCCAATAATTAGGAAAAGCAAGAGCGTGTAATGTAGAGACAACCAAACAGCCGTGTTACATGTGTGTGTGTTTCTATATACTCATTCTGTTTGGGACTGCATCATCTTGTGCAGAAAAATAACAACCAAACA